TTATATACATTGCCTAAGTCCTGTAGAATGCCTGACGATTATAGTATAGTGTGGAATACATAAGTCATTCAGATGAAATGCTTGGAATTCACACTTTGCCTGCCTGTAACACGTACAACCAACAAAAGCGCAAACCCCAACGAAAACATTACGTTAATAGATGTTTGAAAGCGCACCGTTCTGAATAAAGGCTTGTTGAAATGCGTACACCAACAATAAATTAAATTGAACGCCCCCGAAGACATGCAATTTGGAAAGAAATATATTTTTTACTCTTTACAATTCAATATTTTTTTTTTTTAAATGACAGTTTTTGTGATAAGTGGATTATGACGAAACTTTCCAGGAACCATTTTTGTCAGGAGGAATGATCATGTCAAATATAGTTGCGATCAACTGTTTAGATTTCTGTGATTAATGAACCCATTGACAATCAAACAAACAAACATAGTCATACCGAGTTTTATATAGTAGATTATGCGTTTTAATTAATAGAATATATGATTATTCTGGTCCTAAACAAATCCTATTTAAAACGTAATACATTTTAGCCAACGCATTTAGCTCTTTTGGCCTACAGTAAGTAAACCTTAAAATCTGGTTTATATAACCGGTAACTTTAAAAATATAAACAAATATTGTCATGTTCAATGATGAATGAATACAACAAATTATTTCGAATACTAACGTCTGAAAACGATGGTGATCCAAATAAGCTAAAGTTGGTGCATGTTTAAAATAACTTAATAGGCCTATAAATAATTGGTATTATTTGATAAATCATTTTGATAAATTTAGGCACTTGCTTGACCCAATTGCACCTGTGACCTGTACACTGTGTACGGTGTACACACTGACATTACATTCTAAGACTAAATCATTTAGTGATTTACTGACGGGCCAATGCCAATAATAATTATAATATGATCGGATAATCGTACAAGAATGATACAATTCAATGATCAATGATACACCATTGCCCTTTAACATTAATAGACTTTAAGGGTGACTTGAAATTTACACTGTAACTGTAGTAGTAGTGACTGTGCCCTAATGGCTAAATAAATGGATTGTATCTTTTTTTTAAAGAAAACGTAAATATTTTGGCAATCCTCCAAAGTCCGGTCCCAAATTATTTTGTATGAAAAAAATTTCAATGCAGTGTGTATTGTTAGAAAACAGCAGAAATGTCAGTCATAGCTTTTGCAAATAACTGTCACTTTACAAACCAGTCAGTAAATATTAAATATTGTTATTGGCGCATAGCGGCAGCGGCATAGCATTTGCAAATAGCTGAAAACGTTCTGCTTGTGACTGTTGCGCCACTGAAAGTCACTGAAAGGCTCCCAAGTAGCTGGCAAACAGACCGCGACTAGTAACATTCCGATAGCGGAATTTACGTTTCGCTTGCATCCAAAGTCCTTCAATAATTTATGGGTGAATGTCCTGGTCTACTGGATCAACAAATTCACTTGCGTGCACAATGACAGTGTGAGCATAAATCCCGTTGTTGAGCTGAGCGACATTTTGATATCATCGCCAAGCGTCCGTGACGATAGCTGTCCCTGGTCACACATGATTAGTGATAATGCGCTCGAGTGTTTGTGCATCTCGACGGCCGACAACCTTCATCCAACATCGTCCACTACCGCAAACATGAATTCTAAAAACAGAATGATGCCCAAGACTTTTAAGTAAGGAGTGATCATTAGAAATAATTTGGGACCGGACTTCAGAGGATTGCTAATATTTTAGTCCCTTTTTCACTTTTTAATCTATCACTTCAGGTCTCGGTTTTTTAAAATCTTCCAGTTTGAAGTGTGGTAATATATTTAACTAAATTTTTTTTTTTTTATTGATGTCCATTAATAGTAGAATATTTTTATTTGAGAAGGACCACTGGGTTTTGGTGGTTTAGAAATAGAGAGTGGGCATTGTTTTCTCAATGAAGCACCTGAATCTGACCAACGTTACGGAGTCCATAGAGAGAGAGATATTCAAAGCTAATGTTAATGTATTGTATCGGATGGATGGGCGGCATATGCAAACATTAACCAGCTCAGAATCGGAATCCATGAACACTCCATTGTGATCCATCAAAATTTTGTAGGTCCAAAGGACGCTGGTGTCCACGGCAGAATGTTGAAAATATGTTATGTGGATGCACGCAAAGTGCAAACTGAAAAGACAGTTAAGCACTAGCCCCGATCTCTTTCCTTCATATTTGCATGAGTTCATGTTCTGGAATAGTTTTCATTGAGATGATATAAACTCAAACTCTGTTTTCTTTTTATTTATTAAACTACTTGAATTTTTAAATTAAATTTTTGTGTGTCTTTTATGTGCTAAAAAAAAATAAGTACAATGTCATAAAAAAATTTGTATCAGAGAAAGAATTTTATCTTAAAAATTTTGTAGGTAATTGTAGTAACTGCACAGTAAATATATTATAGCAGCCTTGCACAACTAAAAAGTTGATAAGTCCATATTACATTATAATGGACCAGTCAGATGGGCAGGGCATATTACAAGAATGCCAAACAGCAGACTTCCCAAAAACTAATGTTCGGTTAACTCTTCAATGGAAAATGATCAGCTGGTGGGCAGAAAAAACGCTTCAAGGACAAACTGTCTAAAAGCTTTACTCAAATCCATTGACATTGTCCTTGATTCATGGGGGAACACTTGCTATAAATCATGCAAGCTTGCATGGAAGACTGACTGTTGAAGCAAAATCCTCAGAGAACAAGTGCACCTCTTATGCCCAAAGAAAGTGTTCGGCAAGGAAAAGCAGAATCAAGTCAAATCCAACTAGGAACGAAAACAACATGTGTCCCATGTGCGGGAAGGCTTTCCAGGCACAAATAGGACTGGCACGTCACCTGCATACTCACCGTGGAAAATATCCTTGGTCATCTTCGGATGCAAAGGATGAAAAGCAACAACATAATGAAAAACTGCTGCAGGTCGCAATAAAATTGGATGTGTGGGAAAACTATAGAAAATAATAAAAATAAATAATTTTATTTTTTTAATTATGAAAATTTATAACAAATAATTTGTTACCGGTACTAATAATTTTTTTAATGCACCTAATATTTAAATTAATTTCTATTATATTACTTAAATAATAGTTTAAATGTATAAATTATAGGTTATTATTTTATAATGTATAGTATGTGTCCTCACAAAAAGCTTGGAGGCATTATAAAATTAGAGTGAGTGCTGGCCGTTGTGCAAGCCTTTTTTATACCCTTACTAACAACCATTATTAGACTTAGTAAAATGATATGGGATAAAGATCCAGAGAATTTAATTATTTACACTCTCTATGCAACTTATTTGTTTTGATATCAAATTAAATCTAACACTATTTGTAGGCTACCATGAGTTAACTTTCTTTTATACATTTCATATTAATCTTCTTTACAAAATGTTGTTAGCTGTCCCTCATACAACTGTCAACCCTGGTGTAGTAATTATATAATCATATATTCTTATAATAATGAAATGATTCATGAATATAGACCATTTTTGTTGGCAACACAAGCAGCATTTTACGACTATTTTGTTCTCTAAAGATGACCAATGTCCCTGCTTCCTTACTCAGAGCTCAGTGATAAAATCTGCTAAATAAATGTTTACAAGATAAATGAAAATTAAATCCAGGACTGAATTTATGTTCACTTATGGTTTTGATTTTCATTTTTTTCTTTAAATCTCAGAGAAATTAAGTGGGCACTTAAGAATGGTGCTAATCCAAATACAGTTCATTGGGATTATGGTGTGTCTGCAATGCATTTAGCTGCTGGACAAGGTGACTCGACCACTGAAATTTTACTTCACTTTGGAGGGGATCCTAATGTATGGTAAATGGATATTAAATAATTATTTTATTAATTTTTAAGATATTTTTTTGTCTATATCATATTTATTTTATTTTATTTCTGTCATGAAGTATTTATAATTTTTCAGTGTAGGTGTAACAAGTGACCAGCATAAATTCTCTACATTTAAAATAGTTTTAATTTTCTGTCTTTTAACTTTATTTAAAATAAGCACAACAAAAACGATTAACAAAATGGAAACACAAAACATCTCTTATATTTTTTGCTCCAGTTCGTCTGAAAATGTAACCCCACTCCATATAGCAGCAAGTTGGGGTGATCCCAGGACTATAGAACTGCTGTTACAATGGGGAGCTGACATGACCATTCAAGATCAGGTTAGTGAAGTACACACCATTAAAAAAAATAGACTAAGTAGTAAGCCAGTCAAACTAGAATTTAATTCCCTATCTTTTATTATTTTAATTTGTAACGCAATTTTAAATTATTTACGCCATGCAACCTGTTCATTAGTGTTATTGATCCTAACAGGATGAGAAAACAGCATATGACCTTGCTGTTGAATGGGGTCACGATGAGTGTACTAGGCTGCTGAAGAACCATATGGTTAATTTGGTGCTGAAAGATTCAGTATCAGCTGGTATGCAAAGCTAATTCTTATCTTGCATATAATATAAATTTATCTTTGAAAATTAATTTAATGAAAATATTTCCACAAATGTTGCTGAACTGAATGGTGATATTTGTAGCAATTGAATTCACATAAATATTGCTGTACATTTCCATAAATCTCTTATTTAATAAGATATTGCACAATGTGTGTGTCATTGAATAATATTTTTTCCTCCAGGGACAGCATCCCATTGTGGAGATGGCCTTACTGATGGTAGTCATCCTGTTTCTGCTCATCAGTCAAAGAAAGAAGCAGACAATTTGTCTAGATATTCAAGTACAATTACAAAGAAATTGTATGATTACTTGGAAGAAGGGCAGCAAGTGGTCTTTGACGCCACCTCTCCGAACACACCCTTGCTGGGATTAAGATCATCCAGCCTGACTGACGTAAAAAATAATTCTGATAAGTATACACCATCGCCTACATCAAAAAGAAAGATGCATAAACAGGAGCATTTTGAATTATCTCATGCTAGGCTTTCCTCAGAACAATCTGACAATTGTAAACTCCATGATACCCATCAAGACATATCCGATCCATGTAATTTTACCACTGCCACCACAGCCATGTATGATAATAGTGTTTACAAAACACATGGTGGCAGCAAGGTATCTGAAAACCCTACAGCAGCACACACAGAACTGCCGATAAAACAACTGAACTTTTGCGTATCACAAAAGTCCGACTACACTGGTTCATCACTAGATAGGGTAAAGCCCCCTTCATCATTCATCTCCAGTTTAACCTCATTCGATACCGGTACATCTCAAAATGAATTCACAGATTGTGGAACTCAAAACTTCTTCAGCGTACCTTTTGCCTCGACCTCCGAGAAATCCTCCAGCCATGTAAGAAACAACAAACAGAACTCCCCCTGCTCATCGAACAAATTCAAGCTTAATGGAGGTAAACTGTCTGATGAAACTTTTAATAATCCAGATAGCACACAAATTTCTGCCAAGAATATGGGTCAACGCACTTTGTCTTCACAAAATAAAATGCTCTCCAATGCCGCGACTCATAGTCAGAAATTTGTCAAACCTGACAATGCAGCTCTTAACTGTTCTAAGAATTCAACCCCGACTGTTTTACCAAAGTCTTTTGCAAGCCCACAGAACCGGGTGGCTGAATTTATCCTCTCTTCTGCTGACTTTATGGAAAAATGTAAAATAATAGATAGTGGTGACAGTGATTGGCCTGCCATCTGTACATCAAGACAGTCACTAACACAAGAACTGTGCAGCCTCAATAACTCTAATTCTTCATCAAATACCTTCACCACCTGTGATGAAGGTTTTGATGAATCATTCCATTATAAAAACATATCTTGTGATTTGAAAGAACATGGTAAAATGCAGACTCCTGTGAGTAAATTATTCCCTGGGTTAAAAATTGAAGATCTCAAAAGTGTTAACGCTGAGGGTGATCTAACTTTAAAATCATGTCTGTCAAAATGGAAAGCACCACTTGGTGTCCTCCCTGCAGATGACGACTTAATGACATCTGATGACAGTTTTTTTCAAAGAGAACAAGCTCCAAGAGTTTATAAAATGCAAGTTAAAACCACAAACAAACCGCTGGAGAGATTGGACGCACAAGGTTACTGGGAAATCTCAAAGGAATATCCATTCAAGCCATCGCAGGCTTTGCAGCATGAAAGTGGCCAAGCTCCTCAAGTTCCTGTTCGTAGAAAACGAGTTTCAGATGTAAGCCTTATTAGTAGCTTATCAGTAATAGAATATCTTTATGAAGATGAACTAAGTGGAATAACTTTTATAGAAAGACATTTACCTTCAGAAAGTAACGCCAGCAATGAAAGTACTGTCGGTGAATTAACTCTAGATTCTGAGGCAACCGATATTTATGACTGGTCTTCAATTAACAATACCACTTCAGCCTCAGCACAAGTTACCGCACTGACTTTGGAGAAAGAGTCTCACAGCCAAGTCAACCACGAAACAAATGTTCATCAAACAGAGGAAGCAGAAGAATGCAATCTTCAAAATTTGCAGAATTTAACACCGCAAGACATAAAACAGAGACTGCTTAAATATGATGAATCTTGTGGTCCTATCACCTCCTCCACTAGACAGGTATACCTGAGACGCCTTGCCTCTTTAGAGTCAAATCCAGGCAGGATAGGATTATCTAAAAAAGTCCCAGGTTAGTCTGAAACTATATTTTATTATTATTATGAAAATGTCTTTTTTTTAAAAAAAAAAACTAATTTTTTGAAGTTCAAATTTAAATACTAAGGTGTAATGATGCATACTGAAATGAAAAAATGTGTTTTGCTTTCACTTTGATGCAAATTAGTTTTAAGAACTGAGTTGTTTTTTTCCCCTAAAAAATACAGAGAAGATTTAAATTTTGTTTATCATTCTATTTACTGTACTTTTATTAATACTTTCACCTATTTTCAACCTCTTGCAGATTATCCCTCAGAAATGTGTGATGCGTTATGTGGAAAATTTGAATCAAAAATTGTTGAAGATCTGGAAGCAAAATTGGTTGACTCATTTAACATCAATGGTCGCCAGTGGAGGGAAGGTTCTCAAAAATCTTCATTCACTTATTTGCTCCTTGACCCACGCATCACTAGAAATCTTCCTCTCAGAGCAAAGGACCTACGTAAGTCAAAGTCAGACAGATGACATTTTTGTTTTTTTACATCTTCCAATTATGAACCATTTTGTAAACTTTTCTTATTGATTTTCAGATAAAGAGCCAGATTCTTATAGACATTACAGCTCAAACGAGATGACATGGAATTAAAAAAAAAAATGTAACAGTAACAGCAAAGAATTCAAGGCTATTATTATAGCTACTCAGATTGCAAAGCAATGAGTAAGAAGACATTTATTGACAGGTATTTTTCACATTGGCTACAATTTGTCCAATAAAGGGTAGAATTCAGCAATTTGAAAGAGATTTTTTTTAAACAGAAATATTCAAAAATTTAAATGATTTGAATGTTTATTTTTTTTACAGCTGAATCGGAAGTATTTAAAACTTTCATCCATGCTACCTTTTACATTGGAAAAGGTAAACGATCAAGACCCTACAGCCATTTGTACGAGGCATGCACTAAAATGAAAAGAGAATCTAGAAAAGTAGGTTAACTTCCTTGAATTTTATTTATTGATAAGCCCTTTACAAATGTGGTGTTCAGACCTGTTTACTTTCAAGATCTTAAAATCGTACAAAATCATCACAAAATCTTTCAAAACATTATCTTAATAGTAAAAAAACCATGCAGTACATATAATGTATACACCTGAAAATCGTACATTGTACGCCAAAATCGTAAGAGTAAACAGGTCTGGATGTTGCACCAAGTGTGGTGTGTCTGTCCATATTCTTATCAGTATCAGTAATACAGATGTACTTTTTCATTTACACTCTAAACACCGTTGCTTCTTAATGCTCTGTTTATTTCTCAGACAAGTACTAAAGTAACACACATACTTGACATTTGGAATGCAGGGTTTGGTGTGGTATCTCTGCACTGTTTCCAGTCAGTAATACCAGTTGAGGCATATACCAGAGAAGCTTGCATGTTGGAAGCTATTGGTTTGTTTAAACTTTTTTCTTTTAATCATGCTTTGCTACCATTTTATTTACTATGGTGCATGAATCTTATGTTTAAATATGAAAGTGTATTTATTAATGAAGCTTTTAATAGTTTTATGTGAAATGCTAGCAGTGTGTTCTTTCATCAGGTCTCCATAAGGTAACAAATTTAAAGAAAGGTGATTTTTATGGAGCCGCCTCTACATGGTCACCACAACAACGCAGACAGTTTGGAGTGTATTTGTTACAAAAAGCCCTGCAAATATTTTTAGCTGAAGGAGAACGGCAGATTTGTGTTCCTGATCTCAAGAGAAGCTAGAAATTTTATTCAGTATTATTTTTTTAATATATAATTCATTACCGGTAACTAAATGGATACATGTCTCGTGTATTAGAAGTAATGGAGTATGGAAATCTTTGTCTGCAGAAATCTTGACAGGTTTCTAAGGTTAAATCCTGTTTTAAAAAAAACTCATCACGTGACCTTTCAGCCCTCTTTCTCATGCTGCATTTTCAGAAGGGTAGCCATACTAATATTTTAAGGGAGCAAACACATGATAACTTACAGGCAGTAAGATATGGAACATCTTTCAAGCTTGACATCCATAAATAAATGTATGTCAAATATATTAAACTAATTTTAATGTTGAAGTTTCTATATAGGAAATGCATATCATTCCTTTTTATGATTACTCTATTTTTAAGGTACCAGCATGTTTATTTTTAATGTTCCATTTTATTATTATTCAATTTTTATTTTAACTTAGTCCATACAAATACAACTCATCCCAAAATAGAATGTACCAGTACAAAATAATTGTTAAGTTTAAATTGAAATTTTAATTTAATGTATTTTCATTGTTATTTGTTTTTATAAATTATATCTTAATCTCAAATAATAATTATAAATGTTTAGGCTGTTTGTAATGGTGCTTCTACAATTTTAATTGGATTTTAACAATTTGTTTCTTTGATATTAATAAGATGACACTTTTCTTTTATATAGGAATAGCCATTTTCATATTTAAAAAAAAGAGCCAGGAAAAAAGTAAATGATGTTATATGAAACATAGTTGTAACATTAATTTATCCTAAGGAATGATGTAACTTTGTCTTCATTTCAATTTATTAACCAAAAAAGACAGAATAATTTATTATTTACAGCAATAAATAAAAGGTAAGTTCTCAAAAGTCCAGAAATCGATGATAAGAAAGATATCAAATTTTTATTTTTTTTAAAACTGAATAAAACATGTTGTATAAATGATTTCTACAGTCTAATCCGATTGAATTTGTTTTATTGCCTACCATAATTTGATCAATGAAACTTAAAAATTAGTTAAATCTTGATGACTAACTAGTCTTAAATCAATAACTAAGAATCCTGTATAAGATTATGATATAAATATTTTATTGGAAAATATAAACTGATTAAAAATAAATCAAGTAAATTTGTATCCTACCAATGCATCATCACAATTGCACTCCCACAAACTTAATTTAAGTGACAACTGTTGGTCAGCAGCATGAATTCTGAAACAATTTTTTAATTGCGTCCTTCATTGAAAGATCAACATGTTTACTATTTAAAAGTTAATATGAATGCCTTATTTATCTTTTAGAGTTTCAGTGTTGCGTCTCAATATTTAATTGAATCTTGGCTAGAATTTTCTGGTATAGTGTGTTTAAGTCCACCATTCCATCAATGTATTCTGAAAGAAAAGTGTTTGAAAGTTGATCCACATAATAACCAACAATAAACAAATTGTAAATTTAATAATTAATAACCAATCTAAATATAATTAAGAGATGATGAGAATAAATATCAAATCTTTTTGGAACAAGGGTCAAAAGCAGATTGAGTGGATGCAAACTTAAAAAAAAAACAAATTCCCTAGAAATAAGACATTCATTATTATAACTTATTTTTATTTATTCAAAGCAGTTTTGAGTTACTGTATAGCATTTTAATTTTATATTGTAACACCATTTAAAATCATCTGATTATGTATATTTAGCACAATAATTTGTGAACAATGCTGTGAGCTTAAAAAATTATGAAGAAAAAAAGATGAAAAAGTTATGGGGAATCACAAAAGATAAAAAATAGATATTTTAAAAATCTCATTGTGATGGGGAAAAAAAACGGCTTTAAGATGTCTTCCCCAAGGCTCATTTACAATGTCTAAATTTAACTGTCTATTATAGTAATTATTATACAGCATTTTAAAAAATTTTGTTAACATCTGATCTGATTGTTTAATATTTCCCAATGTAGGGTGCATGCCCCACAAGGTAGTATTTTTAAAAAGATTTTTGGGGAGTCTCTGAGATGGGAAATTTATTTTCAAGTGGAGAAGTGGTAATGTTAGAGCGCTTTTGAAATTTAAGCACTGTTTTGTTCTTCATTTATTGCAATAAAAATACATTTCACTTATAACGATTGTATGTCTTATCCTACAAAGTTGAATCTTGAGGCCTAATCAGGCAGCAAAATTGAAACTCGATCTCAGTACCCCTTTTTTTTTTGCAAAGTTTGTGGGACTGGAAGACATTAAACTAATTTTAGTAGCTCATGTGGGGCTTGCAATTAGAAAAAGTTAGGGACGTGCTATTTATTGACTTTGTACTCATATAATTTCCCAAAAATAACATTCCCCATTTCAAATCGCTTAAAAATGGACACATAGTTTTGAATTGGAATGTTTATAATAGATAATTGCAAATTTAATCTAGCAATAAAGCTTTAGCATTTCAGTCTTTACATTTATTTTAAAAGTAAGTTATCTCAATTTAAAACTAATATTTTATTTGATTGATTTTTCAATCCAACTTTTTGAGTTCAAAATATTCTTTGTTGAAATTGTTTCTTGTCTATTGTTCAAAGATTGAAGCCAGATTTTTCCTGCTTTAACAAAAAACTCTTGAGAATTAAAAAAAAAAATACATATGAGAAAATAAATGATGATTTCAGTTAACTGACATAGCCACAGCTAAATTAAATAATAAAGCATTTGGTTTAAAAAACAATTCAAGTAGAAATTATAAATATGTAAAAACATTAATGTAATTAAAGAGACAAGACTAGTGTATATGTTGTTCTTATGGAAAAAAGAAAATATAATTTAGGTTAAAATTTTAGTTTTCTGCAAAATGTTAACTTGTCAACATGTGCTTTTAAATAGTTCAAATAAATGTTTTTTAAAGACCTTTGTAGTTCAAGAGTCAATTAAATGTACGGTATATACTGGTACTTATTTAAACTATATTATGTTCACTTCTGAAAAGTTTGAGGTGTTAAAATAAGTGAAGTAGTTATATTTTAAAGGACACAGCAACCCTAAAATTCAAATTCAATGCAGAAAACTAGTTTTTAAATTTCATGTCATTTTAATTTTAGCAATTCTGAGAGTTAGGAGCTTAGCCAGGGAATGTTTTCGGTGAACAGGTTTAGAACGTTAGGAAAAAGTAGTGAAGACATCAAAAGCCTTTATTGAATTAGAAGACGCAACACTACAAGCAGGGCTGGAAGTTAAAAAAAACAAAATACATGACTATCTTAAGAGAGGAATAGACAAATAAAACCATTAAAATTTGAAACCACACTTTTTCAAAAAGTAAATCAATTCAAATACCTAGGATCTTTATTTAATGAAAGAAACGAATTACTAACAGAAATAAAAGAAAGAATATCAGCCAGAAACAGGGCACACTTCAGTAGTCAGAAATTAAAAATACTCAAAAGTAAAAACATTACAAGAAAAACAAAGAAAACTATTTATAAAACTTTCATTAGACCAGACGTACACAAGTGCAACTTGGACCCAAACATGGTAGAAAACCTATTAAATACATGGGAGAGAAAAGTTATCCGGATAATATATAGACCAACAAAGGATGAATAAGGGTGGAGAATACGAACCAACAAGGAATTGTATAGTCTATATCAGGATCCCATGCTAGTAGCAGAAATAAAAAAAGGGTAAGCTACGTTGGGCAGAATACCTATAAAGGAGTGAAGAGGGTACATAACCAAAACTGCAGAGGAAAACGGCTCAAAGGCAGACCTTGGCTTGGATGATGTGGAAAATCCAAGCTGGGAATCCAAGCATGGAAAAGAAAAGCATTAGTTAGGTCTGAGTGGAAGGAAGAGGTGAGGCAGGCCAAAGACTACATTGGCTGTGGCGCCACAGGGATGGAGTATAGATGACGGTTAGAACATTACCGATGTCATCTTGGTCTTGGATCAGTTCTAAATTGTGCATTGACATTGGCCACACAACATTATCAAAATATCCTGAAGGATCTGGAGGAATGTAGACTCGTGTCCTGAAAAAGTTTTCTTCTTCTTAATGACTTAATTTTGCATTGAAATTATCTGATGGATATATTAGCTGTTTTTGATGATCTCAATGATCAAATAAGCATTTTCATTTACATGTCCTCAGTGTAATCTATAACAGGTTTATTTAGTTCACCGTCAACAGGAGAGATGAAAAAATACTGTAGGACATAATTTAAATAATTAAATCATGTGTCTAATGTGCTACATACAACTTTCATGTAACAAATCTAGTACAAATTTATGCTAGTTAATTTAAAAATTAAAAACCCAAATGTTTTCACCACTGGAGACAAAGCGGACAGTGAAAAATTGTTTTAGTTAGTACTAAGCAAACAAAATGACAAATTTACGGTGGGGCTTCATACCAGATATTTTGATTTAAAAGTCCATGGTAGAAAATGTGATTTAAGTAGCCTTAATTTTAAAATCAATAAAAATCATGATTTAAAAAAATTAAATTATTAGTATGTTTTTTAATTAGAAATGGAATTGAGAACATTAGAGAGTAGATACAACACGGGTTCGTGCCACAAGAGGCCAAATTGTTAGTGAAATAAAAAGCTGATTAGAAATAAAACAGCTACATTTTATTATAATCCAGTTGAAAATCATTTAAAAAATCTCCAGACAGTGTGTGTAGATAATGCCATAATTATGTACAGTCGAAACAAGTGACTCAGATTTCATTTTGATGGATAAATGTACCTATTGTCAGGAACCAATCTCTACTGATGGCATTATTAATGAATCAATATCTAAATTTGTCTGTGTATTTTTTCTTCATTATTCTTTTACATTAATTTTTTTTTAAATGCCAAAAAAATGAGTGAAAATGAAATTATGTATGAATTTTCAAAATAGATCAATTGTTGTGGATTAGCTACTTTAGAATAATTACACTTGCATTACAATTGGTTTTTCTTGAAATTTAAAGAATATTTTTTAATATTTAGTTCATTCAATAACTGACCAAATTTGAGTTCCACTTAGCATATAGTATTAACATTTAAGATTAGAAAATTAGACAACTCATCAATAGTCCTTTAAAAACTAGAAACAATGATTTTCAAGAAAATAATTACAAACATTGCTTAATAGTTTTGAAATGGACTTAACATTTGGGAAATGGCTATGTGGTATAGCTATGTTTTATATAAGGATAATTTATTGAGTTAGTTCTATAGATACTTACAATCTTCTTTCTTTGCAAATCTCTTTGTTGATTTTTATAAAATATTTATGATCAAATAAAGCTGAAAGTTTTCTGTAAAAGAAAATAGTAAAATAGTAAAAGCTAGAGTAGTCATTAGATATTTCGCTTTTAAAATGCACGACAATCTAATTTTTGCTATCAAAAATTACTATCAATACTTTCCCACATCATTTTTTCCACATGCACAGAATGTAAGGGCAAACAAGTTTCAAATATCTAAATGTTTTGGTTTAGGCCGAAAGTGTCGTAAAGGCTTTTCGTTTCGGCCAAACGCCATTTTAACTTTCAGTTTAATTTTGGTTTCTGTTAAAATAAAAAAATCACATTCATTCGGTCACTAGTTTAGATAATTTATTTGAAAGTGCCCTTTTGAGATTTATAATTTACTTAGATGCACTGTGAAATTCTAAATAAAATTTTTACTGCATAAATATTTTTAATAAAATTTAGTTTTTGCTAAAATTAAAAAAAAAAAAAAATGAAAATATGATAAAAATTCTGAGTTCAGGAAAAAGACATCTGTCATCCCATCTTACTACTACTGTAAACGCTCACAAGAGTGCCCCTTACACAACACCTTGACTGCATTGCTGAAAGAAAAACTACCAAACTCCAACTTATTCATATATTAACTAATTGTTAATTAGTTACCTGTCATTGAATATCAAAAAGCCTTCAATCAAAAGCACTGAATATTTTTTAACAGAATTTGATTTATCATCATGTTTTTCACTCCATAATCGAACATCTCTGACCATCCTCTCCATGTCCAGTGCACTCAGTTCTAAATAAGATAGATATCATTTAAATACGGCTATTTTATATTGTTCAATTATTTAACAAAATCTTTAATTCTATATTTATTGATTTATTGTTGCTAAAATGCCCAAAACTTAAAATATGAAGGAAAAAAAAATCATTTTAATTAAACTGCATCAATTTTTTAAAATAAATTATTTAGACATTATTTAATATTACTTTAAAAGATAAGTATTGGTTAGTCATGAATTGAAAATATTAACTAAAAGATACTTCTTAACAAGTACGGGGAACAAATATCCTACTTTCCCAGTTGATTACACCATCAGCATCCCTCTCTATAGATGGATTGTCCAAGTCCTGCAATCATAATTTTTAAAAAATAAAATAACAAATATAAAATTAAAAAAAAAAAATATTTCACTCCTTTAATCTTTTTATAAGTTATTTTTATTGAGTATTACATATAAAACAATTTGAACATTTTAGTAAAATATTTTTTTTTTCAAAGAAAAAAATATTCTGAACCTAATCAAAGTTCTTTTACTCACCCAAAAATAACTGTCCTGACACATTAATTCTAAATGAGGCAGCGCTTTGCACAACATGGAAGCTACAGTTGTTTTGCCACTATTTGTTATTCTATGGGAGTAGAAATGTTATATAAATAACATGGGATTTGAATAAAAATTAATACTACAAATTTGCATGTTTTTTTTTTAAATTGTAGGCTATTTATAAATAGTATTTCAATATAATATTTTTTACTTAAAACAGTTACAAACTAGGCAATTTTTTTAATCTGCTGTTAACATAATAATACGATATAAAGATGAGGTGAAATTCTTAATTTGTTTTATAATTTCAGGCAATGCTATGCCAAAGTTATGGTACGACTGAATATTTATTTAATATGACAGGTATTAAAATTATTATAACACAATTTTCTTTTTTGCTTTCTTACCCACTTAATCCAATGATCAGAAAGTTTCTACTCCCCATCTGCCAAGTTAAAATACCAGTACTGCTCACCAGTTGACAGTCAGAAAAAATAAAACTAATTAAAAATGTTTTAAGGAAATGATGATGCGTTTGATGAAGGGCATATTTAATTACATATTTAAGCACTGAAACTGTTAATCAACGGCACTGTCTTTACTCCACGAGTCTTTCTTATCTTCAGCTTCACTGTTAACTGAATTATCTTCACTCAGTTCAAAGTCTTCTTCAGAGCTCTCTAAGTCTTGTTCTGGATTTGTTGCTCCAACATTCAGCCCAAAGGCTACTGTGTTATCGTTTTGGTTTATTCTTTCTAAAAATGATTGCAGCAGTTTCTTGTTGACGTGATCAGTTTGTGTGATTTTTCTTTCTTGACTTAGCTCTTCTGGTCTCACATTAGCATCCTGGACTTCACTGGCTAATGTTACATTTTCCAAATTATCTTCATTCATCTCCATTGCACAGTTGATTTTGATCTTGGTAAATCAAAAAATTTGTTTATTTCATTTATAAACCCATTGTAAAAATTCTAATTAAAATCAAATTAAAAATATATAAAATAGTTGAAACTAATATTATAAATATTATTATTATATATCATTATAAATACTAGATGATTTTAAAAATTAAAAAAAACAAACGGTTTATTTATAACAAATTATAATCTACAAGATAAGGTAAAGAAATTAAGTCTACAAAAATCAGTGATTCCCAAAATGTAACTTATTCCCCACAAAGAGGCAATTTGGAGATTATAGTAGCAGATATAATATCTATTACAGTGTTGTAGGGAGAGGACAGACCAGCCTGGAAGGCACTTTTTTAAAATATAAAAAAAAGTGTGTCATTTTTGGGCAAATGCATAGTTTTTTTCCTAGCAGGGAGGTGGCAAAAATTGTGTACCACTCTGATGGCACTAACACTACCTCTGCCACTGATCTGGGAGATACGACAAGATTATATAAGTTGGGGTGGTCGGGTATAATGATAAAACAGGATTTTCTTTAAATATTAACAACCTTTATTGTTGTCATATATTGCAATTCAAATATTTTAAACATTCTATATAAGATTTATCTTAAGGCCTAAAGATAAAAGAAAGCTGAATTGATATTCAATTTTATGGCACAATGGCAGCATGGAGAACTTTTTTTTACCCCCCCCCCCTTAATTTTTTGCAAGGGGTGTGGAATAAGGTAGGTGATCAGGGCATGGGGAGAAAAAATGTTAGGGAAGCACTGATGTCAAGCTTGTTTAAAATTTTGTTGTGGGGTTTTCCACATCATTTTTTTGTTGCAAGCGCAGCTGTTTGGTTCAGCCAAAGAAACAAATTATGTCACAAATTATGTCACTGATACAGTGGACTACCATAAATCACAAGACTAAATATCACTGTTGGGTTATTTAGCGAGTTATTTTTTTAAAACAGAGCAACAGTATGACAAAAATTACAAAACGTTTTTATAGTGTATTTGAAAATAATTTGAAATCATGAAATTCAGAGACTTAAAGGGACCACTGTCTATATTAAAGATATTAAGAGACTTGAATTCCAGGATAACTTTTGCTGGATTTCTGAATAAATATACATACTTTTTGCTGAGATCGATACACACCATGGGCAAAATCTAAAAATGAAACTGCCACACAAAATCTCAAAAACCAACTTTATTGCCGCACAAGATCGCCAAAGTCAACTACCCATCCTGCCCCCCCCCCCCTCAGTGCATACATAATATATGGAAAGCCCTTATTTTGATAATTATAACTTTTTTAATTTGTTAGGCCTACATAATTCTGTCAAAATGTGATGAGTCTGAATTTAGTAGTTACTTAGTAGAGTGAGAATGGCTGGACAAATCATCATATCAACTAGACCTACTCAAACATGAAAATGATGTCGAACATAATAATAATAGGCCAATAATATTTTTTTCTGGAAATAAAACAACGGCCATTCACACTATATGATTGATTGATCCCCCACCAGCAATGGAGCGTTACTTCATGCTCCTGGGTGGTGACATTAGGGGCAATCATAGGAACTTGAATTATGGGGAATTTCCTTTGTCACTTACACCCCATGATGAGGGAGCTATCTCCGGTGTTCCCCGGCTAACTACAAAGATAACAGATCATGAGGTGCCTAAAAACCTTCACATTAGGGCGGAGAGGAGAGTGTGTTGCGAATTGAATTTTCTGTGGGTCCATAAAACTGAGTGTTGATTCGGGCCACCGATTTTATTCTTTTTGAAATTAGATTAGATTATTTCTTTATATATAAGTTAAGCCTATAATTAATAATTATATTTGCTGTATGAAGAATACATAGCATTACCCTTAGATTAGAATATATAATGTATACATACGGTCTTTGGTAACAGTAGTGACAACTGAAGACACCTACCCTTGTGTTGCTGCACCGTTACACTTACTATTACACTAATATTATTATTTAATATACACTGACCCTGTGCCTATCACTATCACTTCAATGAATGAAAAACTGACCATCTGTTTGTGCATTAAAAAAAAAAAAATGTTTTTTTAAAAAGAATTATGTAACATTGAAATGTAAAAAAAAAAAAGTAACTAGTAACAGATAAAATTACAATGCTTTACTGATTATTGAGTTTTACTTTTCAGAACGAAANGGTAGGCAGTTAGCTATTAACTAGAGTAGAAGTACTAGTAGGGATGTTTATTTGTTTAACTGACCATCCATTAATGATGTCACACGACAGGGGGGGGGGGGGAACAACTGGATTTTTTCTTGGCCAACGCTCAATTGTAGATTACCGCCTAAAGTCTATGATTTTACATTTACATACGGCACACGGTACTAAAAATTTTAAGTATTAAAAGCACTCTTGCCCTTGTTGATGTTGTTGCCTTGTAATTGTAAGTTTTGGTTGTAAAGTGTAACTTGTAAGCCTTGACTTTGACATGATTAAGATAACCCATGGTAAATGTGAACCCGCGAACTTATGTCCTAAATTTATCCCTAACTTACCTAGCCGTAGCCGTAGCCTAGCCTAACCTGAACCCTAAACTATCCCTAAACTTTAAACCTAATCTGAACCCTAAACGTATCCGGTATCCCTAAACTGAGTCCAGGGTTTTGACCCTATCGGGACCAGGGACAAAACACGCAAATGACGTCAGGGTGCTATCTCTTCACATTAGCCTAATCTTTAACAAATTTAAATTTACCAGATCATACGCCCATAACACTAGGCCAACATAAATAATTTGATTTGAAAATAACTTTTGTGGTCCGTGCATTTTTGTTTTAAAAATAGGAGAGCTATTCAACTTCCGTTGGATAAAATAGTAACCGAAAAAAAAGAAGCTTTATTTATATATGATTTTTTTTTTAAAATTACAGGTGCAATGTTACTTTTGAAAATGCAACAATTAATTTGAAGATTCAAGAAGGAAGGATTGGAGAATATTTTTTGTGACTTTTTCAATTCAAGCACTATTTTGAATTGCCGACGGGACTGAAGCTTAAAATAAAAAGCCTATGACTATGAGCCCTATGCCGCTATGCCTATGAGGCCTATGCCATGCCTATGTGTTATGTGCCTATGGCCTATGACTATGACTATGATGCCTTTATTACTTTATTAAAATAATACTAATACTATTATTATTACCTAATAATTAAAAATTATAAGTCAAGTTAATAATACTATTAATACTAAGCTTAAACTTTTTTTATTAGGCCTTTTGCGGCTTTGCCTTAACCTTAATAAACTTAAGTTTAAGTCTTAAGTTTAAAATTTAAAAAAAATTAAGTGTCAGTCAGTATTGTGTAGAACAGCAAACTAATTAATTTAAAGTAATTTTAAGTAAGTGTAAGCTAATTATATTATTATTTAATTTTAATTATTTTCAGTTTCATTTTTATGGAGGACCCCTTTAGGCCTTAGGTTAGCCTTGGCCTTAGACGCCTTAGTCTCAAGACTAAGATTTGTAGACTAGAGACCTAGTGATACACTGATACTGACAGTTACTGATAGTGCCTAGTACTAGTAGAGTTTAGTAGTCTGTAGAGATATTATTACTACTTATTGTATTTGTATAGTCACACTGTATAGTATCGCAGTGCTTGAGTGCTATCAAAGTCCAAGTCAATGATAGTAGTATCATACTAATACTATGCAATACTTTTTATACATTCCTTACCCATTGCTGAAGTTTTTAAAATATTACATCAGCCAAGAAGTCCTTTGTAACCAGACTTTTTTTTTAGATTTATTAATTTATATTTTTTAGGGTTTTTATTTTTATGCCTATCAGGTGACAATTGCAATTTATTTTTTATTTCTATCAAAACACCAACAAGTCTAAGTGGACAATTGTCTGTTAAATTAACACAATCTGGCAGACTTGTCATGAGTCATGAGAACAAAGATGGCGCCTGTCTATAAAAAATATTAAACAATGGAGTACAAAAACATGTCTGCTGAAATTGGGAGGGGAAAGGGAGAGAATGTGTTGTTTCATCTACTTAATGCAAGAAAAGAGAATAATGAATTTCATAGAATAGGTTTTTTTAATAGAAAAACATTGAAATAAAGAGTTTTTTAAAAATCCTTTATATTACCTTGCCTTTAATTCATGGGTAGCTGCCTGGCTAAATCTTCGGATGGCTAATTTACCTACTTCCCATCAACCTATCAAGCTGAAACTTGGCACATAGACTCATTGCATATGACAACAAATTCTACCAACCATCAGTTTCTCCTGTTTTTCAAGGGGAACATGAAGGAAAATTTCCAGTAACAGTGCTAAATGATATTCTTAAAAAATATCACAAGTGCATTTAGTGTGTAAGATTTTTTGTTGTTCTGAAATAGTTGGTGAAAAAAATCTGCGGTGTAAATACAGGGGAATCATTTAAATAGTAATATAGTTCTGGGGTGTGAAAAAAAGTGAGGTTGCTAGCTGGGGGGGGGGGGGGGGGGGGAAGCACTAATTGGGATTTTTAAAAAGTGCAATACTTGTATTTGTATGCATCTTTTGTCAAATTTTCACAACTATTGCTCACTATTACATTTTATGAAGGATTTATATGAAATTTTTTGTTTTTATGGGCTGTATAATTTAAAAATGCACTGTAGTATAAAAATGATAAATTTAATAAAAATGTAAGAAGTAAAAATTTCTAAAATAAATATGTTAAAAAATTTGCAAAAACATGCAAATTTAATGACATTATCTAGAAAAAATTTCCAACTGTGCGTAACCTAATTGCTTGCTAAGTCAGTATCCCTAATTTAATTGCAAATTCTACCATAAATTTAGTTCCCCCTAACTTGAATGTAGATCAAGAGTGTAAAAAAAGTATATATCAAACTTACTACTGTTCGTAGGGCACTGGAACAGCAGTGTAAGTTAGCACATTACAATAATGTAACACTATTTTTATCACTTGTTCCATCACTACTTTTCTATATCCGCATAATTTTAGAGTTCCTCTATTAACAAATAATTTCTCCATTTTATATCGCCATGATTCATACATTTTCAAAAACTAATTAATATCTATTACTTTTGCACGTGAAACTGAACAAAACTTGATTGCAATTAAAATGTCTTTGCATGTTGAATAAAAAAAGTAAATAATATACCACGATTCTAAGGTGATACATATTTTTTCTTAGGTGATTTTGTTTGGCTGCTAAATGATCTGAGTATTCTTGCCAAAAATGCCCAAAAAATTTAAAGGGGAGAATTCAAAAGCAGCTGAAGCAAAAGCTAGAAAAGATGCACTTAAGCAGGCAGAAACGGAAAAAACTCAGAGGCTAAAAGAAGATGAATTGTGGAAAGATGATGATAAGCATTTATTAAGAAAACAACAGAGAAAGGTAAGATTATTCTATCAGGATATGAATAAAAATATCTTATAAATCCAAATAGAACTTATTTTAAGGTTTAAATGTTGTTTTCAAATTGTATCCCAGGAAGAGCGTGAAAAGAAAAAACAAGAATTAGTTGAGCGTAAGAAAACTCTGCAACAACTCCACGAGGAAGAAATGAACAGTATCAAAGGTGCCAAGTCACAGGCTGCCAGATTAACCAGAGCCCAAATCATAGAAAATCAAGAGAGAATAGCTGCCGCTGCTGAAGGTTTGTAATTTTCACAGTTTATGTTAAATTTTGGTAAGGTCCCTTGCATATATTAGAAATGCACCAAGGGGTAAGGAGACGGTGGGATTTGATGGTTTGTGTATGGGGGCAGAATTTCAAACACAAATTCAATCAAAAGTTATGGCAGTCATAGAACTTAATATCTTTGATGCAATATTTCCAGCAATAACAAGAACCACAAATGTGCACAATTTTATTACTTTGCACAATTTTGTTTACCCGGTACCGGTACTTCTTCTTGTAAGCCTCATCTGAAGTCCAAAGTGTAATTTCATTGTTATCAAGACAAAATAGCCGGGGGGGGGTTGGTTGTTGGATATATATATATATATATATTGTGGGATGGGGTGGATTGACAATTTTGTTTAGGATTTGTAATAATATGGAATGCCTTTAATAAAAATGTAGTCAATGTGTTGTTTTTTTACTTCTTGTAAATGATTGATGTTGCCCCTATCAATTCTTAAATATTTTATAGCAGACTAAATTTAGATTTAAACATGATTCGATTATTTCAGCTGCAAAAGCCAAAGAGAAACTGACCCACATTGAAATTCCACTTGAAGAAAATATCAATCAAGTAAAGACAGAGGGCGATGAAGCTAGAACAGTTGATGAAGCTATTTCTGTGCTAAGGTATTTTTAAAAAAAAATAATTTGTGTAATATCACTATCTTTCTATTATTGGGCCATAAAAAGTATATAATAAAAACTGAATTTAGGAAAGAGCATAATCATTCATCTCCTATCATTTATGGGTAGGCGAGGGTTTCTAACATTTAGGGTATAAGAAACTATATTATCATTTTAATACAACTACAAGTGCTTTGGTATGATGTCATTTACTAACAAAGGTAAACAGAAAATGTGGATGTACTATTTTGAAAATAGCTTCTTCATTTATGAATGTCCCTTGGCAGCATCTATATAAGAATGAGTTAGGCTGACCATATAACGCAAAAGAAACGAATGACTTTAAATACGTTCGGATTCTTAAAAACAATTGGTGATTTTCTATTATTTTTCGGAAATTTAATAAATTTAAATGTGCTTAAAAAATAAAATTTATTGGCTTTTATTTTAGTAAATGTTAAAGTATTATCATTATAAATTACAAATACATATTAAAGAACTATTTTAAGCATTTTACCTGGATTTGAAAGTTGTGATATTTTTTTATCAATAAATTGTTATCTTAGAATTATTTTTATACAATCATAATCACATTTATCAGGAAAACTCAAACATCTGTTGTTTTTAGTGCATTGTTAATAATGCGAAATTCAATTAAAATCTCTTTTATCTAAATGACTTCAAACAATATTAAAGTAAAATTTTCGATTGAACTCAAATAAAGAAAAATTAGATTACTTTCATTAGAGCTAAATTGAAACTTGCAAATAAAAAGCTTTAAGTTTCTTTTATTTGATAACAGCATGTGACAAAACTGATAATGCATGTACTGTACCCTCTTTTAAAAGTAAAATGAATAAATATAATGTAATAAATGTAATTGATTGCTTTTTAAATTGTTAACAAAACCCACCAAACTTTTGCTTTGTATTTTTAACATTTAAAAAGTTTTCAATTATTTTTCATTCCAAAATTACACTTTTACCGAATTTTTCTATACTGAATGTTGAAAAATACTTTTAATAAAACTGTCGCTTAAGTCAATTATTGCAGCAAAACTTAAATCATTCACTAATTCACTTATCATTCATGCAAATAAGTACACACCATATAAAGTTTCAATTTGTTAATATTGAAATCAATATCTCAAAACCCAATTATGTGAAAGATTACCAACTTTGGTATTGTTTTTAGTGTTAAAATAAATAACCATAATATTTTAATATTCAGAATTATGCATAGATTTATTTAATGTTTTTATAGAAAATATAAAAAATGTGTGGTAAAAAATGTGTAATTGCATATGTAAGGGGCTACCATCCCGTGGATGATTTTATTAATTTTTTATTAAAAACTGTGGGGGAGAGGGATTTGATATTTTTCCTTTGCCCCAGGCAGCACAGGATACACCTCAGAATAAAAATAAAAGAATGAATTTTATAAATAATTAACCTTCTGAAGGATATATATATATCAGGATAGAAACTAGGGTGTGTACATTTTTACGTGGATTACAATATATTTAAATCCAATGATATTACTGACGTGAAAAAAAGCTGATACATTCTCTTTTTAAAAATAAACATTTCTACCAATTAAGAAAATCAATGGCATTGACAAAACGTAGGTACATTTACATAAGTATACCCATGAGTATGAAAACCCAATTATTTTACACATGTGAATATTTAATCTTAAAAATAGAGCCATATTTTTTTTATTTACAGTTCATAGGTTGATACAAATATGGGTTAAGATTTTCTTTCAAAAAAATGAAAATAAATTTTTGCTTCTACTTGACTATAAGCAGATTTTTAAAATCTGTTTAAATCTACAAGTTTGAGTTGACCTTTTAGGGCTGTCAATTTGGATGAGAATGTTAGTTAAAAACAAATAGTCAACAAAAGTTGTTTACATTTTGCAGTGTGTCTGATGAGCCTCTTGTAGACAGACACCCAGAGAAACGAATGCGAGCAGCGTACGCTGAATATGAAGAGACAAGATTGCAGGTTTTAAAGCAAGAAAACCCCAATATGCGCCTCTCTCAGCTAAAGCAGATGGTGAAAAAAGAATGGATGAAAGCTCCAGAGAATCCTCTAAATCAAAGACATGCTTCTTACAATTCTAAAACATAATACTTAAGCTTTCAATTTGTACGGTCCCTTCCATAATGTGTCTATCACATACATCGTAAGCAAAGCGAGAATTCCCCTGCTGACCTAACAGTGACTACAAATGTCCACTTCCATTGAGTTTAAATTCATTTTAACAATTGGCATGACAGCCTACTGTTACTAGTGTTGCTTAAAAATTTCTTTAATTTAAACTTGTTAATTTGTTACTTTTGCTTGTTTTTTTGTGAAGATAACAAGTAAACATGTGAATTCCTGCATTTCTTTTCCAAGGTGGTCTCAATGGTTTTTAAAATGTTACCATATTCAATGAACACGCATAACATTTTGATGTTGTGTATTACAATAACTTTTCATCTTGGAAGCGGGAAAAATGTTGGTTGCATTTCCATGATACATGTCAGATTTTGCAAACTGTTTACATTCGTAGCAGATTTTACATGGCTTTAAACTATAAATTGGATTCAGAGTAGCTTTTTTTTTTTAAAAAACTGCAGGCAAATAAGATGTAACATTGTCTGTTTACAAGCATAGATTAAATGATAATAAACCATTAAGATCTTAAATGAAAATGTGCTTGTAAATTATTGATATATTTTTATCTTGAAAGAATCTAATTAATTTTTTTCATACTCTAGATAAATGTATAATTATACATTATCCAGTCAGTACAATAAGAGAAATGAAAGGTCCAATCACAAGAAAAAAGATTGAAAGTAATTCTCTCAATTCATAAGGTAAAGAAATTGAATGTCGGCAACAACTCAACTGTAAGAGGTCAAGTGCATACTGAGCATTTGTCATGATAGCACCCCAACAAACCAGGTTGGTGCTTCAGACAATGCTTGAAAGTTACCACAATGACCTTCTTGTGACTGTTACCTGTAATCTCACTTGACCAAATCAGTGTGTCTTTATGTTTTATTTTCCAAAGCAATGAATTTAATTAAGTTTTTGTGATTCCCCAGAATTACCTTATTTCTTTGAGTAACTTATATTGAATTTGATTAGTATGCTCTAAAGTTTGTTAAATGCTATATCATAACATATCTAATATTTTTCATTAAAAAATTTTGTTTGGCCAATCATAAATATCACCCAAGAGTTACAATATTCTTTTAGAATGAAAAAACTGGGATAAGTAAGTAATTCATGCTAAAAGTTGTTTACTATACAAATGTCTCCATTTTTTTGGTTGGAATAACTTTCCTACTTGTACATTTTAAAAGTTTGACAAAATTTTCAGTCACACATTAAAGTTATTAAAATATTATGAAAACATATTTGTTATTATAGTTTTAAATTATCCTTAGTTAAATAAGCAGTTGAAATGTATTTTTATTTTTAATCCTTGCAGCAGTTTGCTTTCAGTTTTTATTTCACCCTGTAGTGGCAGTTGTCAATTTTTAAGCCAGTCTCCAAAGAGAGAGTGTCAGAAGTTTCATAGGGCAGGGGTGGGCAAACTTTTTGTGCGGAGGGCTGCATTGACAAATGTAAAGCTATTGGGGGGGGGGGGGGCATGTAATAATATGTCCAATTTTTTTTTTTACATGTCGATAAACATTTCTCTATATTAAAATTGGTAAAATCCCATTTTTTTTAGCATTACATGACAAAAGTTAAGGACTGTTTAAAAAATATATAATGGAATTTGATAAAAAAAGTTAAAACAATCATAACAACATGAAATTCTGTAAAATTCAACAAAATAACTTAAAAACCAAAGTAATTTTTGTATTTCTTAATGCCTTCGGGGCAGCATATCAGTTGTCGGGCCGCATGCGCCCCATAGTATGCCCACCCCTGACACAGGGGTATTAGATTAAACATAACTGAATTTGTAGTTGTACACTAAACTTATAGTTTTACACTAAAATAGTGAAATACTTGTATTTATCTGTGTGCTTCCTTTCTTTTTAAAATTAGTACTGGTATGAGAAAACCTGTTGATCTTGATGGTTATTGGATTTAGATTGAGAGCTTAGGAGATTCAGTCAAAATTTAACTAAACAAGTAAATCAGGCATGGAACAAAATTATTTTTCATCATTGGTATTTTTCTTTAATTAAAACACAGAAATTCATTTCCCTTAGCATAAAAACTAACTGTTCATGAAATTCATGCTAAGCATTGGGAGATGCATAAAATTAAATTATTTGTTCCAGAATTTAGTACATGCTATTTGAGTTACTAAAGAAAATATTGTATTTTGATTTTTATTATTTGCTTTTAAATGTGAAAATAAACATGGTTTCTTGATCTTTTACCAGACAGTGATATATATGACTGGAAAAAACAACAACTTAAATTTAACACAGAAATTTCAAAATATTATGAGTTAGTTGAGGGATCTGCAAGGGATTTAAATGCTTGTTGAATGTATAGTTTACAGTTATAACTTAACAGTTAAACAAGACAGGAAAATATAATATTTACTGACTCCAGGGGTACAAGTGCTTTATTCAGAATTACATAAGTAGGAACCATTTCTGTATTTGAACAATATATTAAACCTTCACCTTAGTTGACCTTAAACAAGTTTACTTTTTTTTTTATTTTCTAATTACTAGGTACTAGGTCATCATTAAAAATATTTAAAGTTATAGATATCTTTGAACAGGACAAAACATAATTCAACTGACTTATGCTGCTGTCAACAATGGCACCATTTATAAAAAAAAAAAAAAAAAAAAAAAAAAAAAAAAAAAAAAAAAAAAAAAAAAAAAAAAAAAAAAAAGGCACATTAAACTATTAGAAAGAAAAAGAACTACTGTGGTAGTAAAGAAGCTTAAATTGTAATTTTTCATCATTCTCTGTGTTCACCAGACATATTTTAAGAAATTTAGCACTACTTGGTATTCATGTAACGTATTAAAAAGTATAGGAGAAAACAAATCTACCACCAACATACTTGTAAATAAAGCATTTGGAAGTATTCCTGGTGATGCTTAATTAAAACAATAAAATCATTAATTGAAGTAGGCAGCTTAAATTAAACTATTTAAATATAGTAATATTTTCATGCTAGAATATGTTGACTAAAATCCATCATTTACGTTTTTCAAAGTTTTTACAAATACAGTCAACAAAAAGTTTTTCTAACACTTCACCTGTGAGATAATCTACTTAAACAGTTTTTACAGTTGTTCATCGCTTTCATCTGGAATGAAGGAAAAAAAAGAAAGAAATGTGAAACTTGACATTAATCTAGAATAGAGCAATACTAGTAAGAGTAATTGTAGAGGATTTATAAGATAGCAATATTGTGAAAAATGTATTACTATTTCTTACCAAGTAAATTTGTGTGCATCAGCTCAGTACTCAAAAGGTCATCATCATCATCATCTGAGGAGACAAATATTAAGGACATATTAAATTTAATGGCACTTAATGCCAGAAAATTTATTAATCTTCCTGATACGGAAAACTAATTTGAATTTTTAAAATATTTCCTTGACATTGTAAGCTATTCACCATACTAACTAGGTAAACAAGCTGTTGATTTTATTATGGATACACAATTCTATGGAAATTGTGTGTTTGTTAATTCCTGACAACTATGAAATAAAAAAAAATTGTACTGTTGTAGGTTCATTCTTTGAGAAGTTAAATGTTCACCCATACTAATCATCCACCCCTGTGGCACTACAGCCCTTGCAGGGCTTTGGCCTGCCTCACCACTTTTGTTTTTCATGCTTGGATTCCCAGCTGCTGTAGGTCCTTTTCTACATTATCTATCCCTTCAAGCCTAAGCCTGCTTTCGAGCTGTTTTCCTCTGGGGTTTTGGTGGTGTACCCTCTTTACTTCTCTGTCATTTGAAATTCTTACTAAGTGTCCTGCCCAGCGCAGCCTTTTCTCTTTACAAGCTTTTATTTAATTTGCCATTTTGTCTGGGTCAAATCTTGTTACTCAATTTTTGACCTTTTCCCTTCGCCCGATGGACTTGAAATTTTTCAAGGTTATTCAATCCCGATGACAATACAATCCTACATGATCAGTAGGTCACGAGTGACCTCCACTGAACCTTGAGCGACTTCTGGAGGTCAAATCTTGCATCTCAGTTTTGACCAACTTCCTTATCTCCAATGGAGCTGAAACTTTGAGCACTAACCAACCCCTGATGACAATACAACGCTTCATTAATCAGTTGCTCACCAGTGATCTCCACTGAGCCTTGAGTGACCTCTGCCAATATCTCAAGAACGGAAAGTGACATCTGGTTTTTTACTACAGCAGTTCATTATGCTTGATTACTTGTTCCCCATAACTATTAACAATGGCAACAAGATTCTTACCACAGAAAGGTTAACACTGACTAAAAGTAAAAATAAAACAATATGAAAAAAATAATTTTAAAAAAAAACGCTTTTCAGAAAATGTACAAAAAAAAGTATAAAATAAGTGTCCCCCAAAACATCAGTCATGACTTTAAAAAAAGCGTGCAGCACCCATGAACTCAACTGTGTCACTCAACAAGCAATGCAAATGTACACACGTATCCAAACTTGTATTTGTCAAGTCATACAACTAGAGACAGACCAAAAGTGATTTTCTGATTTCGGCCGAAGCCGAAAATAGGCCGAAAGTTTAAAATGACTTTCGGCTGAAACCGAAAAAATACCGAAAGTTTAAAAATGATTTTCGGCCAAAACCGAAATAAGGCCGAAAGTTAAAAATGAATTTCGGCCGAAACCGAAGCTGAAACCGAAAATGAAATGTTAAGATATTTTGAAATTCGTTCCCGCATACATTCTGCATATATCGAAAATGATGTGGAAAGTATAAATATTTACATTCTTTTTATAAAAAATGAGATAATCGTGAATATTAATAAATAAACATCTATTATAAGGGCCTCAAACTCGCGGCCCGCGAGCCATTTGTGACCCGCAAGACGCTATTTTGCGGCCCGCTACTTGACAGATTAGTGCAAATTTGCTGGCCCGTTTCCCCCATTCTCATATCTATAACGTGACTCTCCGCGACGGTTTCAGTCGAATCTCACCGACTAGCCTAATTCTGATTATTTTTTTAAATGTTTCTATATATTTTTGTATTCAACAGTGAATAGGTGGATGAAAGTGAATCCTAGTTCTTGAGAACCCTTAATGATTTTATTGGTATTTATAAAGGTTGAGCAGATTGTAACAGTTTTAATCGCTTTTTTTGTGGATTACTTGATGCGGCCCACTCTCATTCAGACACTACCTCCTGCCCCCCTGATGATTTGAGTTTGAGACCCTTGATCTAATGAATACTTTGGATTTTACTATTTTAATATAAAAGTAATTTAAATTGCTTTACAATTTTTTTAAATTAGTATTGTAGGAGAAAATTTGGCAAAAATTGGGGTGGGGGGGTGGAAATTAATGCAAAATATTATTTTTTTAAACCGGGTCTCTAAAAATTGTGGTTCTAAAAGATCGCTTAATTTGTTTTTAAAGATCGTTTAGTTGGTTGTTATTGATCGGTTAGTTTGTTCTTAAAGATCGGTGAGTTTGTTCATAAAGATCGCTTAGTTTGTTCTAAAATATCGCTAAGTTTAATCTTAAAGATCGCTTAATTTGTTCTTAAAGATCGCTTAGTTTGTTCTTAAAGATCGCTTAGTTTGTTGTTTAAGATCGCTTAGTTTGTTGTTAAAGATAATTGATTTTGTTCCTTAAGATCGTTTAGTTTGTTCCTAAAGAACATTTAGTTTTCTGTTAAAGATCGCTTATTTTATTCGTATAAATCAATTAGTTTAATATTAAAGATCATTTGTTTTGTTCTTAAAGATCATTTAGTTCGGTCTTAAAAATCGTTTAGTTTGTTCTTTAAGATCGTTTAGTTTGTTATTAAAGATCGACTAGATAGTTCTTAAAGATCGCTTAGTTTGTTTTAAAGATCGTTTAGTTTGTTCTAAACGATCGCTTAATTTGTTCTTAAATGTCGCTTAGTTTGTTGTTAAATATCGCTTTCGCTGAGTATTAATTGACCGAAAACCTGAGTCACTTTCGGCTGGATGGCCGAAAGTCTAAGTCAATTTCGTCCGAAACCGAAGAAAAACGGAAAGTTAACTTTTCTTTTTCGGCCGAAACCGAAATTAAGCCGAAAGTTAACTTTTAAGTTTCGGCAGAAACCGAAACTTGGCCGAAAGTGACAAAAAGGCCACTTTCGGCACCGAAACTCGGTCGGCCTCTACATACAACATCACTATATATCATGCGGGCCCAAAGCTTCTTGAATCACATGACTTAACTGTTTTGGGGGACATTATTTTATCATTTTTAGGACATTTTTGGAAAAGCTTGTTTTTTTAAAGGTATTTTTAAAATATTATTTTAAATATTTCTGCTACTTGAGTGGGATCCTGGTTTAATCCAAACAATTCCTGGTTGGTTTGTATTCTTCATCCTTATTCATCCTTTGTCGGTCCGTAAATTTTCAAGAAAACTTTTCTCTCTCATGAGTTTAATAGGTGGTCTGCTGTTTTTGTTAGAGACCAAGTTTCCCTGTCTTATTTTACTAC